TATCGCACCCCACAATCGGGATGTGAATCGAGGGTCACGATCCGAGATAATGTCACTCGGAACTCCGTGTAGTCGGACTATCTCATCAATATAAATTTGCGCCAGTCGGTCCACGGTATACTCTTGTCGAATTGGAATAAAATGTGCTGACTTGGTTAATCGATCAACGATTACCCAAATAGCGTTCTTTTTTGTCTGGGTCATTGGCAATCCAACGACAAAATCCATAGCGATAGAGTCCCACTTCCACTCTGGAATCTCTAACGGTTGTAGCTTTCCCCCTGGCATCTGTCGTTCAGCCTTTACTTGTTGACACGTAAGACATCGAGCAACAAAATCCGCAACATCTTTCTTAATACCAGGCCATGTGTACCACTGTCGCAATCCTTGATACATTTTGCTTGCTCCAGGATGAATAGCCAGTCTCGATTGATGAGCCTCACGTAGAATATTCTGTCTCAAATCACGATCGTCTGGTACACAAAGACGGTGATGAAGCCTCAAAGCACGCTCGTCATCTAATGTGTAACCCTTCTCCCTATATTTATCCATATCCTCAAGGACTCGTACTAGGTCTGGATCACTGCGTTGTCCCGAGATCACTCGTCCTCTTAAACTCAGAGCCTGATCCTCCCCAGAAATCACCATGTGTCCCAACATAGCTGACAATTCTGCTATGTTCTCTCGTGACGATGATAGAACTCGTATAGTTGATAGGATTCTCTTTCGGCTCAAGGCGTCGGCAACTACGTTTGCCTTACCCGGATGGTATGCAATCTCCAAGTCATAATCAGCTATCAACTCGAGCCATCGTCGCTGTCGAAGATTCAAATCTTTCTGAGAGATCACATAGGTCAAACTCTTATGATCCGTGTTAAGCTTAACCTTTTCACCGTATAAATAAGACCTCCAAATCTTCAATGCATGCACTACCGCAGCTAACTCGAGATCGTGCGTTGGATAACTTTCCTCGTGCTTTCGTAACTGTCTAGATGCATAGGCAATCACATGTCCCTCTTGCATCAATACACAACCTAGACCTTGTTTTGACGCATCTGTATACACATCATACTGCACACCTGGTCGTGGTAAAGCTAATATCGGTGCAGTTGTCAGTCGCTTCTTGAGTTCCATGAAACTCATCTCACACTCTGGCGTCCACTCAAACCGCACATTTTTTCCCGTCAATTTCGTCATTGGTTTCGCCAATTTGGAAAAACCCTCCACGAATCGACGATAATAGCCTGCTAATCCTAGGAAACTCCGGATCTCCGTGGCATTAGCAGGCGTCTTCCACTCAATAACAGCTTCGATCTTTGCTGGGTCCACCTGAATTCCATGAGCTGAGACTACGTGTCCAAGAAAGCCAATCTCCTGTAACCAAAATGCACATTTGCTAAACTTGGCATACAGGTGGTTATCCCTCAAACGTAGCAACACTTTCCGCAAGTGCTCTTCATGACTTTGTTGGTCTGGAGAATATATCAAAATGTCATCAATGAAGATAATGACGAATTCATCCAGATAATCCATGAATATTCGGTTCATCAATTGCATGAAGACTGCTGGGGCATTCGTGAGTCCGAACGGCATGACGACAAACTCAAAGTGGCCATATCGTGTACGGAAGGCTGTCTTCGGTACGTCCTCAACCTTCACACGAATCTGATGGTATCCCGATCGTAAATCAATCTTGGAAAACCACTTTGCTCCCTGTAACTGATCAAGTAACTCATCAATCCTTGGTAGTGGATACCGATTCTTGATGGTTACTTGGTTAAGTCCTCTATAGTCAATACAGAGTCGCATAGTGCCATCCTTCTTTTTCACAAATAGTACGGGTGCACCCCAAGAAGATACACTAGGTCGAATGAATCCCTGCTCCACTAATTCATTCAATTGTTTCTTCAACTCTGCCATCTCCATGGGAGCCATCCGATATGGTGTCTTGGATATCGGCTCTGTTCCCGGTATCACATCAATAGAGAAATCGACTTCTCTCTGTGGTGGTAGTCCAGGCAAGTCGTCTGGAAATATATCCCTGAATTCTTGAACCACTGGAGTATCCTCAAGCTTCCCATCAACTTCCTTTGATGCAGTAATCACGATGAGAAAGGCATGACACCCTTTTCGAACCATGTTTCTAGCTCGGAGGGCTGATATAATTGGGAATGATGTCTGTACCTTGTCCCCAACGAACTCAAAATGTCCCGTCGAATCCGTAAATTGAATAGTTCGTCGATGACAATCAATGTGTGCTCGATGTAGAGTCAACCAATTCATTCCCAATATCAAATCGTACCCTTGAATAGGTACGATAATCAAATCGGCAGGAAGATCCCTTCCACAAATTTGTAATGGTATGTCATGCAATATTCCGCGCATAGGAAGGTTCTCTCCGCTGGGCGTACGTATTTGATATCGACTAGTAGTATCGACATCCGTAAAGGCTAACTCATCAGTTTTCTTCACACTTAGAAAACTGTGTGTAGCTCCGGTATCAAACAAGGCATGACAAGAAACATCATATATATCTAATAGCGGCAGCATCGGTCTGCTCGGAGTCCTCCTCTGCAACAGTATCTTCAGCGGTTGGCTCCTCAACGTAGTACTCCTCACCCTGAGTATCGGCCTCTGCCGCCAACACGTAAACTCTCGGTGCAACGCCAGACTGTTGTAAAGGTTGAACGCGAAGAGGTTTGGCGTTCGTCGGGGCGGTCCCCTTTTCCGGGCAGTATGTCGCAATATGACCCGATCGTCCACACTGGTAACATGTCGGAGGAGTACTGCATGGTCCAAAGTGGATTCGCCTGCATCGGGGACAAGGCCTCCTCTGGGTCGACTGTGGTAGTGGTGATCGGACTGTCGTTGCCTTCCCCTTGTCTCGGGACTGACTAGTCTGGTCAGTACTGGTGGAAGGTCGACCAAGGAAAAATCTTTTGGCGGGAGTCCGGTCTCGGATTCGGGCCTCCTCCTGCTCCTCACGCTCTCCTCGCTCCATCTTCTCGAGTTGACAGATGTATCGGCTAAAGGTAGGATATTCCAGCACCTCAATCTTCCTCCGCAGAGAGGGGCGTAGGCCAGCAATGAACTTCTGAATCTTCAGTCGCTCGGTCGGAACAAGATTAGCTCCATATCGCAAGAGTCTGGTAAATTCTGCCTCGTAGTCGCCCACAGAACGGTCACCCTGCTGGAGATTGATGAACTCCACGAGGCGATGTTCCTGGTCATGTCGCTTGTAATATTTCTCCTCGAACTCAGCTCGGAACTCATCCCATGTGAACTGATGTCCAAGAATAGTGTCGCGCACAACTCCATCCCACCAGTGGCGAGCCTGTCCGAACAGATGGTGGCTCGCTATCTCTGCTCGATACTGTAGCGGACACCGTAGATAATCAAAGTCATGTGTGATCCGCACCAACCAGTCCTCAGCAACTTCAGGAATCTGAGAACCCTCAAACCTCGGGGTGTTCATGGCTCGAAGTTCCTTGATCAGTGCAAGGTAATCCACGCCTACTGGTGCGTGAAACGTCGGCAGACCTGGTGGAGGTGGTGGTGGAACATACTCCGGTCTAGCCGCAGGTATGGCTCCAGCTGCTGGAGGTGGCATCTGACCCTGATACTGTTGCCACATCCTCTCGCAGAACTGTTGAAAGTCCTCTGGCATGGGGTTAGGGATAGGTGCTTCCGCTGCCCCGAGTCTAGGCGCAGGTCGTGCACGTCGTGGAGGCATAGTCACTGTAGACATTGAAAAGGAGACTTAGTCCCGGTGACTTCGAGATCATGCATTAACTTTTCAACACATTGTCTGTCAAAAATAGAAAACTTTTAAAAATCATGTTTTTGAAAACCTTCTCAAAACATTTTTACTGATATCAAGTTTTCGCATATTCTTTTCCGAGGAAAGAACTGCTCTGATACCAAATTGTGACACCCGTAACCCCGTATCCCGCTTACAGGTTGTGCCACGTGGACAATAAAATCACAATCGGAAAATTTCGAAATATAAACTCGCGGGAAAGTTAAAACGATCCATTTTAAATATAATACAGCGGAAGACATTATAAAATACATCAATACGTTCGCACACGCTTGGAACGGTACCAGTACATAATACAAGTGGTGTGAAAACTATAACACAAAAAGTTCGAAGATCACCACTCTTTATTTTTGAAAACAGAATGCGTTAAAGATAATTATACATGATCAGGAAGTCTAGCTGTCACCGGGTCCCGTGTCTGCCTCAGTCACTGTTGCTGCTCACGACCTGAAACGTTGCATAACAACGTCCTAAGCTACGTGCTTAGGGAGGAATTCGGGTGTAACCCGAGATTTCTATTTTTATTGAAAACGGCCAAGCAATATAGTCAATAATATACATATACATGCGACGGGATATTTCAATAAAATCAATCATCATTGAATCAATCAGCATTCTCAAACAATGTCCGTCAATCGTCTCTACGTGTATATCACACGTAGGTAAATACAACAACTCGTTCATGCCTGTGTCGAACACGAGGCGCAACAGTCCAAGCAAAAATCGTTTGCGAGGACCTCAAGTGATCTTCATACTCCTCATCGGTCACCGATATCACGGCTCTCGGTACCGGTCATCCCATACCCACTCCAGACATCGATCCCCGATGCCGCCGACTGCCGGGCGAAGCAGCTCTATGCTAACTCCCCCTCGCCGACCATCCGCCTCGGAAAAATACTCATCAGACTCGAGCTCAAATCTTTCAGAGTATATCCGTACCACCTCGCCGGGGGACACACGCAACTACCCGGGTCTCAGGTTTATTTGCCAATCAACGGGTGACACACGCAAACCCGAAGTCCGTTCCATGGCCAATGGAACGTTGGCGCGGTTGCCAAAGAACCGTACTTCCTCGTCACGCATTCGAGTGACACACGCAAACCCGAATGCGTGAGTCTCTGGATGCCATAACCGTTTATAAGAAAACGGTGGCGCGATACGAAGATCGCCACAATCACAAACACGTCACCGCGGTATGGTAATCGATCCGGATCGATTATCATACGTCGGAGACTTCAGTAAATGCAATCATCATTTTATTATTTATAAGATTACCCTATTACAATCATACGTTTCACAATATCCGGACCCATCCAGTATATTGCTAACGTCATGCAATTCTACCCGTTTTAATCTAACTCTAAATATCATTTATTTACCGGTTATACTATTTCTATTATTGTTATTTATTATTATTTTATTTTTCAATAAACATTTGAATTTTATTTATTCATTTATTTGTTTATATATTTATCTATTTATTATTAAAATTATTTTTATTTTTATATTTCAAAATTATCTTACAAATTTACAATATTAACAAAAAAAATGATTTTATACATGACCACGTTATAAATAATGTACTGGAACGTTATTTTTTTCTACTACAAAACAATGACAATTAAATTTACGAATTTAACCCTAATCAATCATCAAATTTGCATAAAACATACAAACTCCGAAATCAATAAAAATAAAATTCTCAAAGCCACATCCAAATTCACTCACCGGGATTGTGCCGATTATTTTCCGCGATGGTATTTTTCCCCAGATTGATCAAAATTATTAAAAAGAGTGAAAAAAAAAATAAAATAAAATAAATATAGTAGTAAAAATAAAAATAAAATAAATATATATATTAAGAAATAATTTTGATCAATCTGGGGAAAAATACCATCGCGGAAAATAATCGGCATAATCCCGGTGAGTGAATTTGGATGTGATTCGAAATTTCTATTTTTATTGTCTTCGGAGTTTGTGTGTATATGTGTAAAATTGTTGATTGATTCGTATTCGTGGAATATTTATGATTGTTCTATATGCATGAATTATTGTGTTGATTTAAATATTTTAATAACGTTCAAAGTCTGGACCGAGTCGGACGGGTCCCACACCGTCCCGACTGAGGTTTCAAATAAATCAACGCGAAAATTTAAATATAAGATAAAATAATAATAATAATAATGAATGATGAATTCTGG